GCCTAAAATAAATATAAATACAAAAGAATTAACAGTTCTGCATTAAATTCAAAACAATGAAAAGTATAAAAAGTGTTTTTAAGTCCAATGGTTTGACCAAAATCATATTAATGTTTCCAATATTAGAGTTGTTTCAAAGAATAGAGATTAATTAAAACAAAATTTACATAAGATTTTCAGCATGAAGCTTTGTTTGCGTCGAGATGATTTATTTATTTTGAATTATCGGGAGGTCATGGACCATAAATTGTAATCAATACCAAGCGTCAGTCGATTTTGAGATACATAAAATTTTATGAGGATGAAAAGAAGCTTAGCCAAACAAAAGAAAAAGGTTCTCAATTTCAGTTGATAAGAAACTTAAATTTCTTTTTGCCTCACATGGGAATGCTGAATCCCAAAAAGATCTCAATGTAAAATTGTCAGAAATTACATTCGGATTTACCAAAAAGAAAATGAAACAAACACAATTCACACAAACCGTTTATTCGTTGGTTTCTTTTGGATGTATGCTTTTTTCTTTCTTTTTCTTTTGTTCTGTGTGTAACTTGTTGGTAACTCTTGATAACAAAACCAAAACAAACGTCACACAAAGTAAATGTTCCTCCCCATCATCAATAAGACCTTGTTCGCTATTTTCTCTGCTACTCTTGTTTCGCAGTTTCCTTTTGAGAACTCCCAACAGCTCCGAGATTGACCCCAGCCGCTGAAGCATCAAGCAAACTTGCTGCAATCGCTGCCTTCAAGTCATCATCTTCCATCTCTGAAAAAGCCCGCACTTCTTCACGCGACAATGCCGGATTTGGTCTTTGTTGATCGACATTGTCATTAGTTATGTTGTTGGTGACAGAAGTACCCTGTCCCGAGCTCGTGTTCTTTACTATTCTCTCTGCGTCTTCGGGAGAAAGCCACTGTCCGAAACTGTTGGAAGCTTCAGAAGAAGATGACATGGGACATTCCTGTGGGAAGTTTCCTTTCACTATGAAGATGCTCCATCCCGAGCCTTTGAGAGAGTCGAGAAATGCAGAAAGGTAGAATTTCGATAGGTGTTGCGGGGCAGCGAGGAGGCTGTCAAAGTTATACCATTCGCCGTTCACTTTCCTTATGCAAAACCAATGGTCATGCAAGTGACAGATAAAGGCGTTTTCAAGCTCGGGATCTATCTGCGCAGGCTCTGCATCGGGACAATTGAGAGGAATCACTTGTAAATCCCACACTTCCAAAGCCTTTTGCAGTACCTATCAATCAAATAGAAGCTTCCTCACTGAAAAGATTATGCAAGACTACATAATATTTCCAACTAACTTCGCAATCTTTAGATGCTAAACAGGTCACATAAACTCGTAAAAATTGCTTTTACTGTTACATGTTTACACATGGGATGTAAATCGCCATTCAGTGCAACAAACTGATTTGCTTTTTCCATTCTCTAAAAAGCCTAATACATCAAAACTCGCAAGCAAAACCGACTTGCCTCGTAAAAGACCTATCAAGCAACTAGTTTTCAAGCTATCTAAGAAACAATAGATGATACCTCTTCACACGAGACAATCAAGATCAAAACCCACTAAATATTTCAAAAACCTCCAGAATCATGAGTCTCTAGATAAGAGAATCTAGAATAAAGTTCCTACATGTCTTTGATAAGTGAGTTTAAATAAAGTAAAGGCCGAGAATTCACCATCACTAATCTAAATTCATCATTTTTGCAATCGATTTGTAGCACTTAGCTCTAAACGTTCACATTTTCAATTGGTACCTAAATCTTCAAGAATCGCACATAAACCAATCAAAATGTTTCCACTTCAGTCTAACACAGCAACCAAATGCTAATTGAAACCCTAATTTCGTATAACTCAATAAGAAAAGAGAGCCACAATTCACAATTCTAAATCTTAAAGCAGAGTAAGAGATTTTTCACAATCATATCGAAAACAAAAACCAACGCACTCAAGATAATTCACGAGGATACCATAACCCAGGGACTCAAAAACCCCACACTTCGTACCTGGATACTAAAATCGCCGCCGAGTGAAACATTGTGCGATTCCTCAGAGAAGAAATCGCCGGCGGAAAACCCTCCGACGGCGGCGCCTTCGAGCATGACCTGACGCTCCTTCCCGTCGAGATCGGAGGCGACGGCGGCCAAATCGAATTCGGAGAAGAAAGGTCCCTGCAACACCGTGTTGACGCAGTGAACGGCGCACAGATTTGACTCTTGAACCTCGTGGTACAAGATTCCTCCGTTGCTTGTTCTCTCCATCGCCGATCGAGATTTCGAATGAAAACCCTAAATTCTTCTGATTCCGTGACGGTGTATATATTATTGCAGCGATTGCGAAAGTCTTTGGCTTCAAGTAATTAGGAAGCGAAGAAGAAGGAAGAAAGAGGAAGCAAATGAGAGATCGGAATCGGAAGTTTCAGAGAAATTTTTTTTTTTTTTTTAACATATCTTTAATTTATTTAAATAAGAAAAAAATTAAGTTTGTGTGCCACGTGTAAAACTGTTGGTTAGTTACTTCTCTTTTAGGGGTTAGTGGGTAATTTTAATAAATTTAAGTTGAATTGATAAATTTTAGAAAGTTTTGTAATTTTGGTTATAATAATCTGGAGATTTTTCTAATGAATATTTATGATATTTTGAACTTATGGATAAAAATGTAGATAACATTTTATAATATGAAATTTCAATAGAATTATCAACAGTAATAAAACGTTTTACAGTTAATGATATTTCATCCCAAGTCGGCAAGTCCCAACCTTTTTTTCTTTCATCCAATAAATCATTTTACAGATAAGTGAAAATATTCAATTAA